GAGTGCACTCACGGAAAGTGCATACCTCCGCCAGCGACATACGCCATACGCCATACGACTGACGAACACACGATATACGCCAGCGTACTGACATGTACACGCTGGCTTGCTGGCTTGCTGCTCGCTCGCTCGTAGCAGCCGCTCGTTGCTGCTGCTCGCTCACATGTACACGCTCGCTGTCTTGCTGCCACTCGCTCGTAGCAGCCGCTCGTTGCTGCTGCTCGCTCACATGTACACGCTCGCTGCGCTGGCTGGCTTGCTGCTGACGCGCTAATATCGATCGCGCGAACACACCAACACACGCACACGAGACCGAAAACATAACCTCCTCCCCAACTCCGTTGGGCGGAGGTAATAAGTTACATTTTATATATGCAGTCGTGGTTGAGATGCACAGGCAGTTCCGCGTTCATACTTACATGTATCACACCCCGCCATATACGTCATACTACGCGTAGCTGCTCTCTTACACTTACAGATATTTATTATAATTTTGTTGTACATGTCACGCACCGCGTAGCTGTTATATATACGGACGTGTGAGTTGCACCTGCGAAGTGAACCAGCTCCTGATTATCACTAGAGGGCGCCACATTCTCTCTGTCTCCCTTTTCCCTCTCTCTTTCTCACTCTTTCTCTCTCTACCCCCTCTCTCTTTCCTTTCTCTGTCCCTCACTTCCTCTCTCTGTTACCCTCCCATGTTCTCTCTCTCTCTCTCTGCTCATCTATTTCTCTCTCTCTCTGCTCATCTCTTTCTCTCTCTGCTCCTCTCTTTCTCTCTCTGCCCCTCGCTCTTTCTCTCTCTGTCTCCCCCTTTCTCTCTTTCTCTCTCTCTGTCTTCCTCTCTCTTCCTCTCGCTGTCCCCCTCTCTCTCTTCCTCTCTCTCTCTTTCTCTACCTCTTTCTGTCCCTCCTTCTCTCTGCCCCTCTCTTTCTCTCTCTGTCTCTCTCTTTTCCAGTCTCTCTCTCTCTCTGTTCCCCTCCCTCTTTCTCGCTGTCTCCCTTTCTCTTCTTCTCTTTCTCTCTCGCTCTGCTAATCTCTTTCTCTCTGTCTCTCTGCTCATCTCTTTCTCTCTCTGCTCCTCTCTTTCTCTCTCTGTCCCTCGCTCGTTCTCTCTCTGTCTCCCCCTTTCTCAATTTCCTCTCTCTGTCTTCTTCTCTCTTCCTCTCGCTGTCCCCCTCTCCCTCTCTCTTCCCCTCTCTCTCTCTCTCTTCCTCTTTTTGTACCTCCTCTCTCTCTCTCTCTCTCTCTCTCTCTTTCTCTCTCGGTACCCTTCTCCCCTCTATCTTTCTCTCTCTGTACCCTATCTCTGTACCCTTCTCCCCTCTCTCTCTCTCTCTCTCTCTCTCTCTCTCTCTCTCGGTACCCTTCTCCCCTCTATCTTTCTCTCTCTGTACCCCTCTCTCTGTACCCTTCTCCCCTCTCTCTCTCTCTCTCTCTCTCTCTCTCTCTCTGTACTCCTCTCTCTCTCTTTCTCTATCTGTACCCTTCTCTTCTCTTTCTTTGTCTCCCCGTACCCCTCTGTCTCTCTCTCTGTACCACTCTCTCTTTCTCTCTCCGTGCCCCTCTTTCTCTTTCTCTCTCTCTCTCTTTCTGTACCCTTCTCTCCTCTCTCTCTCTTTCTCTCTCTGTACCCCTCTCTCTTTGTCTATCTGTGCACTTCTCCTCTCTTTATTTCTCTCTCCGTACCCCTCTTTCTCTTTCTCTTTCTCTCTCTGTACTACCACCTTTCTCTCTTTCTCTCTCCGTACCCCTCTCTCTCTCTCTCTCTCTCTTTCTTTACCCTTCTCCCTTCTCTCTTTCTCTCTCTATGTATTCCTCTATTTTTCTCTCTCTATTATATCGATTTAATAATAAATTTAAAAATAATCCTAAATATAAACAAACATGAATGATTTTTGTTTCTGCCATTATCTTCCTTTGATCTCTGGGTAATTGAGTGACTGGTATATGCAGCAGGGACATTATATGCAAGGTCTTCTTCCCATTTCTTATGTGAGATCTACTGATAGAATGTTATGATATTAATCTATGCTAGGATAATTCCTCTTCATTTAAATGCATAATTTTCGCAAAATAATATTCTTCTTCGGAGATATTGCGCATGCGCGAGCACCGTTACATGCGTGCGGTACGGACTTAAGAAAACTGCATAATATAGCTTGCTGAAGGAGAGAGGGATGGTAGGCTGAGGAAAGGCGGCTGGGAAGATAGCCTAGGGGCGGTAAAAGAAAAAAGGAGGCTG